TTCTTCGCTGCGGTCACGACGTTGTGGCTCGGTTTAAGGCGTAGCCACGGATTCGCGAGACAGTGTGGTGCCGTGTAAACTTCTCAAGCTTTTGTCAAGGTCAGACTTGGACCACTTCAGACCCGTCCTGGCTTACTAAATATGGTATATCCTCGACTTAAACAATCCTTTTGTGTACCACGCCGCGGTCAATCCGTATCAAGACACAAGGAAGGCCGCTGCGACCCCAGCCGAAAGCCAGGAAAGGTTCCTTAACGCGGAAAAGGGAGGTGCAAAAAGCTGTCGCGGAGGCTAGATAGCTGAGCAAAGACGGGGCCTCACCGGGAATCGAACCCGGGACCTCTCGCACCCGAAGCGAGAATCATACCACTAGACCACGAGGCCACTCCAAACAGACAAACGCGCTTACAATTTCACAAACGCCCTACACACAAACCAACCAGCGATACACACGCATCACCACATTCACAGACAACACCGCTCTCTTTACTATCGCCTCTTACCTTCCAGTGCCAACCACCATCAGCACTCACACCACCAGCGATGACCAACCATGACCAACTACTACCGTTTCCTTCGCTGCGGTCACGACGTTGTGGTTTGGGCTAAAGCGTAGCCACGGGTCCGCGAGACAGTGGCGTGCCGTGTAAACTTCTCAAGCTCTTGTCAAGGTCAGACTTGGACCACTACAGACCCGTTCTGGCTTACTTCTCCGGTCCGGAAAAGAATTACCAGTAGGGTTATCTAAAATAACCTCGTGGGATTTTTATTGGATGAAAATATTGTTGGTCGCGGTGGTTGACACGTGCTAAACTGGAGCAGTACAGCTCTTAAAAGAAGCCAGAAAGAAGCAAGACAAGTTTTAATGGGGCGAACACCGGGAACCATCGATATTCCTGAAGCAACCCGCCAGGCGATCGCACTATTTCTGGCTGAGCGCTCTAGTAACGGCCGACTTTAAAGGGGGGGGGGGGGTCTCTTGTCGGAAAAAGCCCAGGTTATAATTGTTGTTCCCCCCGCCACGGCTGAAAAATTTTCCAGGCAAAATTTTTCGGTTTGGTCCTTTTTATGGGCGCCGGAGAGGGACGCCCGCCCCGCACAAGCCATGACGACCCTCGTTGCTGATCGTGTTGCCGTGTGTCGGCGACCCGCTGCGGCGACGGCAGACACTACGAGCTCTGTCACATGCTGCTAATATTCCGAAGACCACGCTCCTCCGTTATATCAGCAAAAACAATGTGAAGCGAGTTACTGTGCGCGTAAGGCCAACGCTTTCAGAAGTGCACAAGCAGACGCGCTTGATGTTCGCCTTGGCGCACGTCGAGTGACCTATTGGTAAGGATGTTTTATTAGCACATCACATTTTGAAAACGTATTAATTGATTTATTATTTTTTTTGTAGGTGGAAGATTGCATCGAGTTCATCACATGTATGACGGTTCATATAGATGAAAAGTGGTTTAATATGTATAAGGCTTCAAGCACATTCTACTTAACCGCAAACGAAGCAGCCCCCTACACGTCGTCGCCCAACAAAAGGTACATCGGCAAGGTCATGTTCTTAGCAGCAGTAGCCCGGCCCCGCTACGACAGGCAGCGCAAGAGCGAATTCAGCGGCAAAATCGGGATGTGGCTAATAGTTGAGCAGACAGTAGCTCTGCGCTCGTCCGTCAATCGACCGAAGGGTGCAATCGTCACGAAGTGCGTTAATATGACTCAAAAAGTGTATATCAAGATGCTTAAGGAGTGTGTGTTTCCAGCAATTCGTGCTAAATGGCCAGGTATCATACGTATTCTATTATTTTACTAATGATTTGTATTTAATACTCACAATTCGTTATATTAGGTGGAAAACGGCGAGTGATTTATGTGCAACAAGACAACGCTGGCCCCCACGTAGTCGAAAATGACCCTGAAATAGTGGCGGCGGGCATTAAGGACGGATGGACACTCAAGACGAAGTGTCAGCCGCCACGCTCGCCCGATATGAACGTTTTCGACCTGGGTTTCTTCAATTCGATTCAATCGCTACAGTACCAAGAAGAAACATATACCATAGACGAGCTTATTACGGCGGTGGCCCGAGCTTTCAAGAAAACAACACCCAAGACGCTTGATCACTGCTCCCTTACCCTTCGAAACGTGCTGGAGACAGTGATCAAGCACCGTGGGCTCAATGACTACAAATTGTCGCATTACCGGAGGCGGAGAGGACTACTAGCTCATGCTTCACCAACATCACTGACATGTGATACTTCGATAGTTGAAAGTGGTATTCACCGTCTCTTGTGTGGTGTGATTCAGTTTTTTTAATTTATAATGTAGCCATCTTTAATTCTTAACCTTAATTTGAAGCACCCTTGGATTGGCTAAAAACGTCATCGAACACTGATTTGATATATATCAATATAACCAGCAAAAAAACTCGTTTTAGTACTTGAGTATTTCTTCGGTTTGGAGCCGTATTTGAATCAGCTGAGAGCATGCACAGGACTCCAGATTTATGTAGTTTACGGCACTGTCTTTACATTCCCATATTTCGACAAAACAAACCCAAAGCGAAAAAAACCTTGACAGGCTCCAGACTACTCAACATTCCTAGGTTGGTATTTAGTCAGTGGAAGCTGTTATTAGCTTAAAAAAATACCGCAGCAAGTCAACATCATAAGCTATCAAGTGTGTGTCGGTTTGGTTGTATCACCTCTAGTTTTAAGATATTGGCCGAAACGAGTTATATTAATTCTTTATTGGACCAGATAAGTACTAAATATTGGTCTATCCTCGACTTAAACAATTCTTTATGTGTAACCATGCCGCGGTCCAGTCCGTATCAGGACACAAAGAGCGCCGCTGTGACCCCCAGCCGAAAGCCAGGAAAGGTTTCCTCAGTGCGGAAAAGGGAGGTGCAAAAGCTGTCGCGGAGGCTAGATAGCTGAGCAAAGACGGGGCCCTCACCCAGGAATCGAACCCGGGACCTCTCGCACCCGAAAGCGAGAATCATACCCACTAGAGCACGAGGCCACTCCAAAACAGACAAACGCGCTTACAATTTCACGAACGCCCTACACACAACCCAACCAGCGATACACACGCATCACCACATTCACAGACAACACCGCTCTCTTTACTAGCGCCTCTTACCTTCCAGTGCCTACCACCATCAGCACTCACACCACCAGCGATGACCAACCATGACCAACTACTACCGTTTTCTTCGCTGCGGTCACGACGTTGTGGCTCGGGCTAAGGCGTAGCCACGGATTCGCGAGACAGTGGCGTGCCGTGTAAACTTCTCAAGCTGTTGTCAAGGTCAGACTTGGACCACTTCAGACCCGTCCTGGCTTACTAAATATGGTATATCCTCGACTTAAACAATCCTTTTGTGTACCACGCCGCGGTCAATCCGTATCAAGACACAAGGAAGGCCGCTGCGACCCCAGCCGAAAGCCAGGAAAGGTTCCTTAACGCGGAAAAGGGAGGTGCAAAAAGCTGTCGCGGAGGCTAGATAGCTGAGCAAAGACGGGGCCTCACCGGGAATCGAACCCGGGACCTCTCGCACCCGAAGCGAGAATCATACCACTAGACCACGAGGCCACTCCAAACAGACAAACGCGCTTACTATTTCACAAACGCCCTACACACAAACCAACCAGCGATACACACGCATCACCACATTCACAGACAACACCGCTCTCTTTACTATCGCCTCTTACCTTCCAGTGCCTACCACCATCAGCACTCACACCACCAGCGATGACCAACCATGACCAACTACTACCGTTTTCTTCGCTGCGGTCACGACGTTGTGGCTCAGGCTAAGGCGTCGCCACGGATTCGCGAGACAGTGGCGTGCCGTGTAAACTTCTCAAGCTTTTGTCAAGGTCAGACTTGGACCACTTCAGACCCGTCCTGGCTTACTAAATATGGTAAATCCTCGACTTAAACAATCCTTTTGTGTACCACGCCGCGGTCAATCCGTATCAAGACACAAGGAAGGCCGCTGCGACCCCAGCCGAAAGCCAGGAAAGGTTCCTCAGTGCGGAAAAGGGAGGTGCAAAAAGCTGTCGCGGAGGCTAGATAGCTGAGCAAAGACGGGGCCTCACCGGGAATCGAACCCGGGACCTCTCGCACCCGAAGCGAGAATCATACCACTAGACCACGAGGCCACTCCAAACAGACAAACGCGCTTACAATTTCACAAACGCCCTACACACAAACCAACCAGCGATACACACGCATCACCACATTCACAGACAACACCGCTCTCTTTACTATCGCCTCTTACCTTCCAGTGCCTACCACCATCAGCACTCACACCACCAGCGATGACCAACCATGACCAACTACTACCGTTTTCTTCGCTGCGGTCACGACGTTGTGGCTCGGGCTAAGGCGTAGCCACGGATTCGCGAGACAGTGGCGTGCCGTGTAAACTTCTCAAGCTTTTGTCAAGGTCAGACTTGGACCACTTCAGACCCGTCCTGGCTTACTAAATATGGTATATCCTCGACTTAAACAATCCTTTTGTGTACCACGCCGCGGTCAATCCGTATCAAGACACAAGGAAGGCCGCTGCGACCCCAGCCGAAAGCCAGGAAAGGTTCCTCAACGCGGAAAAGGGAGGTGCAAAAAGCTGTCGCGGAGGCTAGATAGCTGAGCAAAGACGGGGCCTCACCGGGAATAGAACCCGGGACCTCTCGCACCCGAAGCGAGAATCATACCACTAGACCACGAGGCCACTCCAAACAGACAAACGCGCTTACAATTTCACAAACGCCCTACACACAAACCAACCAGCGATACACACGCATCACCACATTCACAGACAACACCGCTCTCTTTACTATCGCCTCTTACCTTCCAGTGCCTACCACCATCAGCACTCACACCACCAGCGAAGACCAACCATGACCAACTACTACCGTTTTCTTCGCTGCGGTCACGACGTTGTGGCTCGGGCTAAGGCGTAGCCACGGATTCGCGAGACAGTGGCGTGCCGTGTAGACTTCTCAAGCTTTTGTCAAGGTCAGACTTGGACCACTTCAGACCCGTCCTGGCTTACTAAATATGGTATATCCTCGACTTAAACAATCCTTTTGTGTACCACGCCGCGGTCAATCCGTATCAAGACACAAGGAAGGCCGCTGCGACCCCAGCCGAAAGCCAGGAAAGGTTCCTCAGTGCGGAAAAGGGAGGTGCAAAAATCTGTCGCGGAGGCTAGATAGCTGAGCAAAGACGGGGCCTCACCGGGAATCGAACCCGGGACCTCTCGCACCCGAAGCGAGAATCATACCACTAGACCACGAGGCCACTCCAAACAGACAAACGCGCTTACAATTTCACAAACGCCCTACACACAAACCAACCAGCGATACACACGCATCACCACATTCACAGACAACACCGCTCTCTTTACTATCGCCTCTTACCTTCCAGTGCCTACCACCATCAGCACTCACACCACCAGCGATGACCAACCATGACCAACTACTACCGTTTTCTTCGCTGCTGTCACGACGTTGTGGCTCGGGCTAAGGCGTAGCCACGGGATTCGCGAGACAGTGGCGTGCCGTGTAAACTTCTCAAGCTTTGTCAAGGTCAGACTTGGACCACTTCAGACCCGTCCTGGCTTACTAAATATGGTATATCCTCGACTTAAACAATCCTTTTGTGTACCACGCCGCGGTCAATCCGTATCAAGACACAAGGAAGGCCGCTGCGACCCCAGCCGAAAGCCAGGAAAGGTTCCTCAACGCGGAAAAGGGAGGTGCAAAAAGCTGTCGCGGAGGCTAGATAGCTGAGCAAAGACGGGGCCTCACCGGGAATCGAACCCGGGACCTCTCGCACCCGAAGCGAGAATCATACCACTAGACCACGAGGCCACTCCAAACAGACAAACGCGCTTACTATTTCACAAACGCCCTACACACAAACCAACCAGTGATACACACGCATCACCACATTCACAGACAGCACCGCTCTCTTTACTATCGCCTCTTACCTTCCAGTGCCTACCACCATCAGCACTCACACCACCAGCGATGACCAACCATGACCAACTACTACCGTTTTCTTCGCTGCGGTCACGACGTTGTGGCTCGGGCTAAGGCGTAGCCACGGATTCGCGAGACAGTGGCGTGCCGTGTAAACTTCTCAAGCTTTTGTCAAGGTCAGACTTGGACCACTTCAGACCCGTCCTGGCTTACTAAATATGGTATATCCTCGACTTAAACAATCCTTTTGTGTACCACGCCGCGGTCAATCCGTATCAAGACACAAGGAAGGCCGCTGCGACCCCAGCCGAAAGCCAGGAAAGTTTCCTCAACGCGGAAAAGGGAGGTGCAAAAAGCTGTCGCGGAGGCTAGATAGCTGAGCAAAGACGGGGCCTCACCGGGAATCGAACCCGGGACCTCTCGCACCCGAAGCGAGAATCATACCACTAGACCACGAGGCCACTCCAAACAGACAAACGCGCTTACAATTTCACAAACGCCCTACACACAAACCAACCAGCGATACACACGCATCACCACATTCACAGACAACACCGCTCTCTTTACTATCGCCTCTTACCTTCCAGTGCCTACCACCATCAGCACTCACACCACCAGCGATGACCAACCATGACAAACTACTACCGTTTTCTTCGCTGCGGTCACGACGTTGTGGCTCGGGCTAAGGCGTAGCCACGGATTCGCGAGACAGTGGCGTGCCGTGTAGACTTCTCAAGCTTTTGTCAAGGTCAGACTTGGACCACTTCAGACCCGTCCTGGCTTACTAAATATGGTATATCCTCGACTTAAACAATCCTTTTGTGTACCACGCCGCGGTCAATCCGTATCAAGACACAAGGAAGGCCGCTGCGACCCCAGCCGAAAGCCAGGAAAGGTTCCTCAACGCGGAAAAGGGAGGTGCAAAAAGCTGTCGCGGAGGCTAGATAGCTGAGCAAAGACGGGGCCTCACCGGGAATCGAACCCGGGACCTCTCGCACCCGAAGCGAGAATCATACCACTAGACCACGAGGCCACTCCAAACAGACAAACGCGCTTACAATTTCACAAACGCCCTACACACAAACCAACCAGCGATACACACGCATCACCACATTCACAGACAACACCGCTCTCTTTACTATCGCCTCTTACCTTCCTGTGCCTACCACCATCAGCACTCACACCACCAGCGATGACCAACCATGACCAACTACTATCGTTTTCTTCGCTGCGGTCACGACGTTGTGGCTCAGGCTAAGGCGTAGCCACGGATTCGCGAGACAGTGGCGTGCCGTGTAAACTTCTCAAGCTTTTGTCAAGGTCAGACTTGGACCACTTCAGACCCGTCCTGGCTTACTAAATATGGTATATCCTCGACTTAAACAATCCTTTTGTGTACCACGCCGCGGTCAATCCGTATCAAGACACAAGGAAGGCCGCTGCAACCCCAGCCGAAAGCCAGGAAAGGTTCCTCAGTGCGGAAAAGGGAGGTGCAAAAAGCTGTCGCGGAGGCTAGATAGCTGAGCAAAGACGGGGCCTCACCGGGAATCGAACCCGGGACCTCTCGCACCCGAAGCGAGAATCAAACCACTAGACCACGAGGCCACTCCAAACAGACAAACGCGCTTACAATTTCACAAACGCCCTACACACAAACCAACCAGCGATACACACGCATCACCACATTCACAGACAACACCGCTCTCTTTACTATCGCCTCTTACCTTCCAGTGCCTACCACCATCAGCACTCACACCACCAGCGATGACCAACCATGACCAACTACTACCGTTTTCTTCGCTGCGGTCACGACGTTGTGGCTCGGGCTAAGGCGTAGCCACGGATTCGCGAGACAGTGGCGTGCCGTGTAAACTTCTCAAGCTTTTGTCAAGGTCAGACTTGGACCACTTCAGACCCGTCCTGGCTTACTAAATATGGTATATCCTCGACTTAAACAATCCTTTTGTGTACCACGCCGCGGTCAATCCGTATCAAGACACAAGGAAGGCCGCTGCGACCCCAGCCGAA